AACCAAAGGTTCCATGCTGTCCTTCAACGTTATTTTCATCCAAGAGCAAATCACTAGTTCTGAATATATCAGATGAATCTTTGTTCTTAAACTACACAAAATTTTATATATTCCCCACTTATCCTTTGGTTCAATTTTATCCTTCAATCAATTAATAATATTAACTTTAATTGAGGTGTAAGGGTTAGTTGACAATCTGTGTTTTTCCTAGAAACATTGCCTTTTTTTTTTTACCATAATGGAATATATTTTAGATATATTCTTTCCTTATTTCTATTTCTGGTTATCTGTAATTTGGTATACTCAAATAAATTTGTAATTTGTTATAAATCCTATCTATGATATTAGGTTTATACTCTCTATCAATTGCTACATATTTTAAGTAATTTAATCCTAAACTTACATCTTTATATGAACAAGTAATGTGCAAGTAATGAAAATGAAGACCTTTATTATAAGTTTAACACAGTAATAAATATTTGGAGAAGGTTTCACTATCATAAGGTACAAGTAGTTTACTTGGACACAGGAATGTTCTATATACGCTATCCTACCAAAATTCATGGGGGGCACAATCTGCAGGTTCATATCCCCGTCATACCAAACATGTTTATCCTTTCAGCCATGAGGGCATTATAATGTGACAATCAATCCCACTATTCGTGGCTAAAAGAATAGTCCAATAGTAGGTGGTGGGTGTTGATGACTATCTGTCTTCCATCTAGTCTTATACTGGTAAATGAGTGACGGCTAGCATGAATAGCCCTCGTGTAGCTTTGCACGAAATTCATAACAATCCAAAAGTCATGGGACATACCTTTGATTGCAGAAAACTGGGTGTGACAACAAAACATGCAAATAGTTCACTTGGAAGCCATTTCGAACTTGTACGCCAAACGATAAGTACAAAGAAAGACCTAACAGTTTCAGAGGGGAAGGATAGTTTGATGTCATTTGGGGAAAATGTCTGTACGTACTATTGTGTAAAAATTAAATATTCCCAAAGTCCACAATTAGCAATGTGGTGAAGAAATGGAAGTCCACAGGTGACAATCAGCCCAAGAAATGACCAGGTAGGCATAAAATATTGACTAACAGGAGCCGATGTGCCTTGAGAAGACTGGTTACCTCATCTCGCCTTCAGACTCTAGATAATCTGTGTGTGGAGATGTGAGCAACCACAGGTAATCCTATAAGTGATTCTACAACACGTCAAGAGCTGCATGCCATGAATTTTCACAGAAGAGCTGCAGCTCACAAGCTGTTGATAACAAAAACAAATGCACACCTTTGATTGGTAGGGGGAAAGGCACACCAAATCTGTACCGTGGATCAATGGAAATCGGGCCTGTGGAGTGACGAGTCATGCTACACGCTCTTCCAGTCTGATGGACATGTTTGGGTATATAGGATGCCTGGAGAACACTTATAACATGAGTGTTGTTCCAACAGTGAAGTTTGGAGGTGGTGGTGGTATCATGGTCTAGGGATGCTTCTCGTGGTCTGAACAATTGTGTGTTTCCTACATTGTGGCAATTTTATGGTACTGGTCCTTATATCTTCCAACATGATAATGCCCCATGTCAAAAACCAAGGACTGTGAATGCATGGTTTGAAGAGAATAACATCGAAACATTGCAGTGGCCAGCACAGAACCCCAACCTCAACCAGATAGAACATCTTTGGGATGAACTGGAACACAGGATTAGGGTAACTAATGTTTTAAAGGAGGAGTGGAGCACAATACCACTTTTAACTTTTTAACAGGTATACTCTAGTTTTATTGAGTTCCAATGTTTGTAAACATGTTTTTAATTATGTTCACTAAATAAAATCATAATCAAATCAGATAAGTTTACTGTTTAGCGAGTATGGCAGGTGACTTCAAAATATTCTAATGACTCAAAATATATCTTTGTTTGTCCCTCCAACAAAATATACAAATGATTTGGTTAACTGGCTACTTAATCAATTCTAATTTGAAACATGTTTTAAATCAAAACATTATTGTCCTTATCAGTGCTAGTAAAACATGTTTTTATTATTTATTATGTTTATACAAGATCAGAGTGGGAGTGCTGAATATTTCAAAAACAGATATGATGACCATGCATGGGCTCTCGAGGAAAGGGCAATTGCCTCTCCTTACATTTGCATGTACTATTAAGTAAACTTAACATCGTAGTTAAGCTAAATATTTTTAGTAATATTTCTTACAACTGTAAATTTGTGTTTGTATTTAAGCACACATAATTCTTTTACTCTGTTGACTTACACTCTAAAAGCTGATCCCTTACATACATGTTGTGACCCACCCCCCCACCGATAATATTTCTATCAGCACCCATGCAATCACATGGCAGTATTTAGTCAACATTACTAATTCATTAACCAGGTGTAAAACGTCAAGTTTTTCTTTTAATTGTTTCAAATAACACTAGGTGTCCAGCTCTAATTAGAATTTTCCTCCAACATCCCGAGTAAAGTTCTGTAGGTAGACAAGTCTTCAAACGAGAACATTAATGAGTTTATTTGCTTGAGATTATGGCCATAGTCCATTACAGCCCTGATGGATTATATATTAAACACATAGTCCATTACAGTCACGAAGTATTATATTTTATACATAGTCCATTACAGGCATGATGTATTATATTTTATACAGTCCATTACAGGCATGATGTATTGTATTTTACACACACAGTCCATTACAGGCATCATGTATTATATTTTACACATAGTCCATTACAGATATAATGTATTATATTTTACACAGAGTCCATGACAGGCATCATGTATTATATTTTACACATAGTCCATTACAGCCATAATGTATTATATTTTACACAGAGAGTCCATTACATCCACGATGTATTATATTTTACACACATAGTCCATTAGAGACATGATGTATATTTTGTACATAAATAAAATCACGACCTATACCTCCAGAATGTAAATTTATGAGCTCAATATTTCACTATTACAGCTTCATCAGGAGCTATAATATCCTACAAGTTCCATAATCCAGTGAAACCTAAATTGGAACATTGGCAATCAAAAATCAAACATAGATACACATGGTTAGAAAGTACATATTATATTAAAATAATATCAAACATTCTTGAATTTATATTGTTACAACAAAACAAACCAACAATGCTAAATAAATAAAATGTGTAAACCAATAAGAACAGAATAACCTTAGTACAAACTGAATGATTACTTTCTTCAACATAAAAAATTTAAACTAGGGATTTGAGATCATTGAGGTTTCAGAATAATGAAGGCTGTAACTGTTCAGAAAATCAAATCTATGGAAATCAATCATAGCAGCACATTCTCAATACATTTTGAAATAGTAATATCAAGAAACTGGTTCTAATCAATACTCACTGTCTATACATAAAAAAAACAGGAAGGAAAACTGTCAGTTATAAAGTTTCTTCTTGTTTCATTTTATAGAAACAATGACTGTTCTGTCCCTCTATTTCCATTCAGATTTAATTTTATCATATTTTATTAATTGATTTGTTGTCATTCTACCACTTCACACTCTTAAATACAAAAGTTCCCAACTAAAAGTATCAAAGGACATCCATACACTTAATCCTGTCTTATATGGTTCAAAATATTTTAAACAATTTCTACATTCATTTGAAATTCTTCACAACACAGTAGACAACAATACTGCTTATCAACAATGTACAATCTCTGTGCATTTCTAATTTTCTAAACAGGGCTGGCCTTATGGCAAGGCCACTGAGACAACCGCCTCAGACCGTGCACCTTCCTAAGACCGGCCCTGATCCAAAACTGTTTCAACAAACTGCAATACTGTATAGTATATACTCAGTGTGTGTGTGTACTCTACGTGTCTATTCTCTGATCTATTTTTAAATGCAAGTTCCTTCATAATTTTATTCCACAAACTACAAATCTGTAAGGTTTCTCTCCAGTGTGTATTCTTTGAGGCATGTTTAAATTCATAATTTTTTCTAAAGCATTTTCCACAAACTACATAACTGTAAGGTTTCTCCCCCAGTGTGTATTTTTTATGCTTTTGTAATTCCCCATCTATTCTAAAGTTTTTACTGCAAATTACACAGCTGTATAGTTTCCCCTCAGTATGAATCATCTGATGCATTTTAAAATAACCATTTGTTAAAAAGTCTTTTCCACAAACTATACAACTATTAGGTTTCTCCCCAGTATGTATTCTTTGGCATATTTTTAAGGTACTGTTTGTTCTTAAGTGTTTTCCATAAACTGTATAGCTGTAAAGTTTCTCCCTACTATGTCTTCTTTGGTGTATTTGTAAGGTACTGTTTGTTCCAAGGTGTTTTTCACACACTATACAAAGATATGGGTTCTCTTTAGTATGTATCCTTGAATCTTGTTTTTGTTAATCCACTGTTACGGACTCATTTCCACAGATTACCTGACTGTATGGTTTATCTGTAATCTGGTGTATATTAGATTGTTTTACATTATTTATATTTAAATTTGTTTTTCCACAAACATCACTTTCTGACTTTCAGAACTTCTGTAAAAAAGTTTTTCTTGTCTTAAAACATGACCTTCAGGAAACTCACTTCCACAACAGATGTTCATATTGGTCATTATATCTAAGACCAAAAAATATGATAACAATCTAGTTAATATAAAGAGTATCATACATTATAGTACAAGTTTCTAAATTAATTTTAATGGTTTAATCCAATGGTTTACAATTTGTAATCACTAAATTTCCAGAATCTAAAGAATGAAATTTTTAGAAAAATGAATTCTAAGAAAAGCAATCACAGCAGCACATTCTTTGTAGATGTTGGAATACTAGTCTAAAGAAACTGGTTCCAACCACTACTCACAGCAGTTAATTCTCTGTACATGTTGAAATACTAATCTACAGAAACTGGTTCCAACCACTACTCACAGCAGTACATTCTCTGTACATGTTGAAATACTACTCTACA